GACCGAATTATTGTCCTTTTTTTCGGAATTTTTTTCGGCACTTATTTTTTTTCGGATTCCTTTTTTCGGAAATTTCCCTTTTTTTTAAACTCTTTATCCTTTCTTCCCCCAAATTTTTTTTTCTTTTTCTTTCAATTTTTTTTAATATAAATAAAAAATAAAATATCATTTACAAAATTTACAAAATTATTATTTTTTTAAAAAAAATCACTATAACATACAGGAAGATTGACCGACGTTAATAGAAAGATGATTAAGATTTTTTCAATTAAATTGAGCGCTGGATAAATAGTTTGATAATCAAATTCATAAAAATCAAAAAAAAAAAATTGATATTTATACATAATTAATTGAAGAAATTGTTGATTTAATAATAGATTATTATAACCAAATCCATATTCGACATTCTCTAAATAATCACCAGATTTTTGAATAAAGATTTTAATTCAAATGGTTTAGTTAAATCAAGTAAATAATGAGTACCAAAAGAAAAATAATAAATGAAATGAATAGATTCTAATACATTTAATTATTCAAATATTTTTCCTAAGTGGTTACAAGTTTAAGATTGACGTAATATAAAATAAGAAATAATTATAAAATTTATAATTGATTAATAAAAATATTTATAGTATTTTCATAATATTAAAGTTTTTTCGAAAATACTTCTAAACAATTAATCAAAAAAATGAGGGCGAATGAAAAAATAAGGAGAGTAAAAGGGAATAAAAGAAACGAAGGGGGAGTGAGAGAGGAACGAAATGGAGAAAAGGGGAATAAAAAATGAAAGGAACGAAGGGTTGTGTAAAGAAATGAAAAGATGAAAGGAACGAAGAAACAACGGAAAAAATGAAGGAAGGGAAGAATAAAAAGAGCAAAAGAAATGAAAAGAGAACAAAAAAATAGAGAAGGGACGAAAATGAGAAAAACGGGACCAAGTAAAAATCAAACCCATAAAATAAAAGAAGAAATAAAGTTAGTAGGGAACGGAAATTACATGTAATAAATAAACAAAAACAAAAAATAAAAACATACCGCAGTAGTTACAGAGAAGAACCGAAAGACCTAAAAGAATGAAATACAAAATGTAAGGAACGAAACATTAAGAATGGAATAAAAATAACTGACAAGAAGAAACGGCCATATAGTGCTGGTCATATCTTAATTGCAAAATCGAAAGAGCCAAAGGATCTAAAAAACGAAATAAAGTTAGTAGGAAACAGAATGCAAGAAGCAAAAATGAATAAAAGAAAGAAGACAAACCTTGAGTGCCGTGCAAAGGAGTGCAAGGACCTAAAGAAAAAAAGAACCCTAGGTGAAAAATTGTTAATCGCCCAGGGTGAAAAAATTAGTTATAATCTTCCTTAATTAATCCGAATTTCATTCTACACTCAAACGTCAAATTATTAATATAAGCTATATTATTGTAAATATAATTTATATCATTCTAATATTATAAATATAATTTAATACATATTACCATATTAAATTCCTAATTATAAACAAAAACTATTGTAACCATCTTTAAATTACTTAGCATTACATATTTTTCTATTTAAACAAACTTATTGGTCCCGGTGCGAAGTAACGGGTGACTGCTAGTTATCAGTTACAAATAATTTTGATGTTAATCCGGCTAATTATTTAATTCCAACCCGAATTAAGTTTGATCGGCTAATTTTTGGACCGGCCTTAAGTTTCACAAATGATGCAGTGTAGCCAAATAATTATTAAAATCAAACTCAATAAATATTATACTAGACAAATTTTTATTTAATTTCTTTATTAAATATTGATAAAGAAAAATTATCAATATTTTTTTAAAAAAAATGACTTCTATATTCCATTCCGGTCTCTCAAAAGATCTTTTATCAATATTAAATGATGCTGACGATCATAACGTTATTATTCAAGTTGGTGAAAACCAAAACACAAAAGAATTTCGTGCTCATTCAGTAATTTTACGTGCTCGTTCTCCTTATTTTAAAAGTGCCTTTTCTGCCGATTGGATTACAAAGAAAAATAACATGATTATATTTAACAAACCAAATATCACTCCGAAAGTTTTTGACATGATTTTAAAGTAAGCCAGCCTTTTTAAATTAAATTAATAATTATTTTGATTTTAAATTTCATATTTTTTTAAAAAAAAAATTTTACAAATATATGATTTTACTATTTTATAAGATATATTTATACCGGTGAACTTGATTTGGCAAAACAATCGGGTGAAGATATTCTTGGTTTATTAGTTTCTTCTGATGAATTACTTATCGATGAATTATTCAACCATGTTCAAGATTATTTAATCGAAAAACAAACTAGTTGGGTTCAAAAAAATTTTGTTCTTGTTCTCCATACTGTGTTTCAACTCACTAGTTGCAAGAAATTACAAGATTATTGTCTTGAATCTATCTGTGAAGATCCAGAACCATTCATCTCTTCAAAAACGTTTCTTTCGTTAGATAAAGATATTCTTTTTGGTTTACTCAAACGGAATGACTTGCAAATTAAAGAAATTGCCGCTTGGGATTGTTTAATTAAATGGGGTATTGAACAAACACCTGGTTTAGGAAGTAAGAATAGTGATAGAACCAAATGGAATAATGAAAATTATGAAGCATTAAAAAAAACTTTAAACAAATTTATTCCTCTTATTCGGTTTGTGGAAATTTCTTCTGAAGATTTTTTTGATAAAGTTCGTCCTTATAAAGCTATTATTCCTCACCATATTTATGAAGAAGTCGCTGAATTTTATTATAAAAAAACTTTACCAAAAACTACAACATTGCCACCTCGTACGGGAAAATCAGGATCATTAACATCAACAATTATTAAACCAAAACTCATAAATATAATTTCTAATTGGATTGATAGAAATAATTCAGCAGCTCACTCAAACAATGACAAGTATAAATTTAGTCTTATTTATTTGATGAGCCGTGATGGATTTGATTACAGAACATTTTATAATAAATGTAATGGACAAGGACCATTTGTAGTATTAATAAGAGTTCAATCAAAGAAAATCTATGGTGGTTATAATCCAATTGGATATGCGGGGAGAAATAATCGTTGGTTGTCTTCAATAGAAAGTTTTATCTTTTCTTTCGAAAATGATCAAGATATACATAATATGAAAATTGGCAGGGTAACTAATACAACCTATTCTGTATATGATAATCGCAATTCTAATAATTTCTTTAATTTTGGAGGTGATTTATATATCAGCGAACAAAATCTTTATGTTGGGTTTAATAGTGCTCATTATGAAAATATTTTCGGTGGAGGTCAATCACCTTCTATTGAAGAAATTGAAGTATTCAGTGTGATTAAAAAATAATTTTTAAAAACTATGATATTATTTATTGTATTGATATTATACATATCAATTGGCCAAAGCTTTATGTTTGGTTTAATAACAGCTATTATGAGAATATTTTTGGGAAAGTAAAACACTTATTATTGAAGAAATTGAAGTATTCAGTGTAGTTAAAAAATAATTATTTTTAAAATTTATAAAATATTTATTGTATTTAAGACAATATCTAAATTTTAACAAGCATACGTATCCATCACGCATTTATAAATAACCCTAAAAAACGTGGATTATATATTTATTTAGTAATTAGCTAGAGCTTGAAAAATGCATAAATAGGTAACTCCAAATGATACCGCGCCTTTACGCAGTAACTAGGCTTTATAATTTAAAGTTATAGTTTTTTTTTTTGTAATTTTCAAGTTTGTTAATCATTTTAGCTACTTTTATTAAACTCTAAATACTGTATAATTAAATGTTTTATTTTAAACAAAAATAATTTATTATTTTGTCGTTTTTTTTAGATTGCCAACTTATCAACTTAGTAGTAGTGGCTAGTGGTTAGATAAATAAACGGGGGCCAACACATATGTTAAACAGACTGGCCAAATGATCACATAAACTGTCTCCATATGTAAATTATTATGAGTTAATAGTAAAATGCAACGGTACCTTTTTTTTCGAAATATTCTGTCTAATATTTTTTAAAATTTTGGATCGGCTGTTTGAAATATCTCAAAAACATATAAAATTTTATTACACACTTGAAAATAATACATAATAAAAGAAGAAAAGGCTATTTTAAAACGTTTTACATAAAAATATTTAGTATATACTTATTGAAATCTTGAAAAAAAAGGATGTAATTTTAACTTTCTATCATAAAAGAGCAAAAACATATAAAATTAAGAATAAAGCAACCAGTGGTCTAATTTTAATAAAAAAACTTCGCCTATATAGAGCTAGCATATATTACCTTGACTTCTGAGATCGGCAAAAAAAGTAAAAAAATTTGCGCAATTTCATAGTAGATTTCAATTGTGTAATCAATTTATGGTCTGGTTATTATTGATAAGTCTGTGTAACCTAGAGTTGTCCCTCGTTTATTTATCAAACCCTCGGGTAGTGGGGGTAGTGAAATAGAAGAAACGATCACGTGATCTTCGATATGTAATATCATATACACTACTAAATCCCTCTTTAATTTTTTTTAGAAGAAAAAATATACTACTAGTGTAAATAATGGTTTCGAATTATTACAATATTTTTATTAATATTTTTGGGGTTTGCACTTACTTCTAAGAAATTTATTTACGCAGTAAAATTAACTACATATATTATTTTCATTCCTTAGTACTTTTGTCAATGATTTTTATTCTTGGATAGCATAGACTGACTGCATGATATTAAGTGTGACAGATGTGGCAGGTATTACAACGTAATTACGTAAACAACTCTGTGAAACAGTGAAAGAGAACGCCACAGTCATTGACTCATTGTAATATAAATTGTATCACGTAAATTAAATTAGTACGATCCTAGTAATAAAGTAGTACAGCTCATTTATATTTCCACTTTAACTTTTATTTTCAAAAATGGCTTTAATTTTCCATTCGAAACTTTCAGTAGATTTATCTCAAATATTAAATGATGCCGATGATTTCAACGTCATTATTCGAGTTGGTGAAAACAAAAATACAAAAGAATTTCATGCTCATTCAGTAATTTTACGTGCTCGTTCACCTTATTTTAAAAGAGCTTTCTCAACTGAATGGATCATAAAAAAGGATGATGTGATTATGTTTAATAAGCCAAATATCACTCCAATTGTTTTTGAAATGATTCTAAAGTAAGTAGTTATCTTTTTTTACTTTAATAAATTATTTCAGTTGATTTTGATTATTAATTTATAATAATTTCTTATTTTAAGATATATTTACACAGGTGAACTTGATTTAACAAAATATCAAGGTAAAAATATTCTTGAACTTTTAATTGCTTCTGATGAACTACTTCTTGAAGAATTATTTAACAATGTTCAAGAATATTTATTTGAGAATCAAAAAACTTGGTTTCAACAAAATTTTGTTCTAGTTCTCCACACTGTATTTAAAATTGCGAACTGTAAAAAATTACAAGATTATTGTTTTGAATTTATTTGTGAAGATCCGGAACCATTTGTAACATCAGAAGTTTTTCCTTCGTTAGATGAGGATATCCTTTTTGATTTATTTAAACGAGATGATTTTCGGATTGAAGAAATTATTGCTTGGGATTGTTTGATTAAATGGGGTATTGAACAAACCCCTGGTTTAGGGAGTGAGAATAATGATAGAACTAAATGGAATAATGAAGAATATGAATCATTGAAAGAAACCTTGAAACAATTTATTCCTATTATTCGGTTTGTAGAAATTTCTTCTAAAGATTATTATGATAAAGTACGACCTTATAAAGCTATTATTCCTAATAAAATTTATGAAGAAATCGAAGAATTTTATTTTAAAAGTACCTTACCAAAGACAACAACTTTACCACCAAGAATTGGAAAAAGTTATATCGAATCAAAAATTATTAGATTAAACTCTATTTCAATAATTACAAATTGGATTGATAAAAAAGATTCTAATGATATACGAGATAAAAATGATTTAATATATAAATTTGAACTTATTTATAGAGGTAGTAAAGATGGAATTAATAATAATTCATGTAATAATAAATGTAATTTACAAGAACCAGTTTTAATTTTAATTAAATGTAAAAATTTAAAAAAAATTTTTGGTGGTTATAGTTCAGTTGGATTTTATCATCATATGCGTAATGAATATCAAAATAAATACATTACTTCTGATGATAATTTTGTTTTTTCTTTTGAAGGAAAAAATGATATTCAAAATATGAAATTAGGACGAGTGATATCAAATGTTAATGTTGTTTATAATAATTATTTTGGTGATTGTGGATTTGATTTTGGTGGTGGCGATTTAAATATGCAAAATGATAATTTATATATCAAGAATAGTAATTATCAACATACAAATAATAATGGTATTTATATAATTGAGGAGATTGAAGCTTTTAGAGTAAACTGTCAAAAAGGGAAAAGAAAATAACAAAATAAGCTATTTTTTAAGCAAATTAAACTTTTTAACGTAGTAGTTACATAGAAGCAAGATTTCATACGATTTGAAAGTAATTTTCATTAATTTAATTAAATCATTATTCATATTACATTAAGTTTCTTATTAACGTGATTATATATTTGAAATAAAATTTTTCCCGTCAAACTGATTAATCACCCAATAACATTGCATAAATAACGAATAAATTAGTACTAATTTTATTAGTAATCAAAAAAAGGAACGTACCTAGTCATCACTGAAGATATCAGCCTAGATAAAAAAAGGATTATTAATTATTATGTTAATTAATTATTGCTTATTATTAATATTAGTAGAACTTTATAAATCATTAAAAAAAAAATATATATATATATATATTAGTAGAACTTACCAGAACATTCAATCTAATCAAAAAAATAATCGTCAAATCATAATCAAGATGAATTTACTGATCAATTTGAATTAGCTATAAAAATATGGAAAAGAACAGGCGCAGACATATCATACGTTGTACTATTCAAAATTATTTATACAGGTTTAATTTAACTTTTATTGTTGTAAATAAAAAAAAAAAAATACTATACGCAGTATAAACTGGGTCGTATAATTTAAAAGTTCGAAGAGTTTTAAATAGTAGTAAATTTTTGTATTGCACTATACCGTATATTTATTGTGTATAAAGGAATTGCATAAGTACCAGTAACAAGTTTTTCTTCTAGTTACTCTTACGTCTGCTAATTAACCTTGGTTACCTTCATAAAACTCTAAATATGATTTATTCGTAATAAATTTTTTTTTTAAAAAAAAAAACTCTGAGATTTCACAAGGAAATCACATGAACTTATTACATTTTATTTAAAATTACTATATGAGGAAGCGTGTTATACCAATTTTTTATTCTCTAATTATTTTTTTTAAAAAAATATTACAGTAATGGTAATAAATTAATTTACTATTAAATGCAATTAAAGTTTTTTAATACTTAATTGTAAATATGAATCATTGAAACATTAATGAATAATTAATCATAGATTCATAGTGTATGAAACTCTTTTTCCTTAAAGAAAATATTAACTCGTCATTCAATTCATATATCTTGGATTCTTGATTAACTTGGTAAAATCCCTTGTCAAAAGCTATTGTTCCTAATCATTATACCAATCGAACTCTCAAAATTAAACCAAAGAAAAATATATTTTAATCAGTTAACCAATTAAATGTGGCTCATTATGAAAAACGAAAAAATTATAACAATTGATGATAAGTTTGTTAGACGTGGAGCAATAAATTAAGCAATTAATTCCGGCCAGATTTAGTATTTATGCTAGAATTAGTGTTAATTCTGGCTAAATATCAGAATTAAGTTTAACCGGTTAATTTTTGAACCGACGATTTCACGATAATGTAGTGTAACCAAATAATTTCCAATATATATATTAAACAAATTTTAATTTAACCGATTATTTCTTTTTCATATCTTCTAAATATAGATAAAAAATTTACAATTTTTTTTTTTTAAAAAAATGACATCAATATTCCATTCCGGTCTCTCAAAAGATCTTTCATCAATATTAAATGATGCTGACGATTTTAACGTTATTATTCAAGTTGGCGAAAACCAAAACACAAAAGAATTTCGTGCTCATTCAGTAATTTTACGAGCTCGTTCTCCTTATTTTAAAAGTGCCTTTTCTGACGAATGGATTTCAAAGGAAAATAACATGATTGTATTTAACAAGCCAAATATCACTCCGAAAGTTTTTGACATGATTTTAAAGTAAGCAAGTCTTTTTAAATTAAATTAATAATTATTTTGGTTTTAAATTTCATATTTTATTAAAAAAATTTTACAATATATGATTTTACTATTTTATAAGATATATTTATACTGGTGAACTTGATTTGACTAAACAATCGGGTGAAGATATTCTCAGTTTATTAGTTTCATCTGATGAATTACTTATCGATGAATTATTTAACCATGTTCAAGATTATTTAATCGAAAAACAAACTAGTTGGGTTCAAAAAAATTTTGTTCTTGTTCTCCATACTGTGTTTAAACTCACTAGTTGCAAGAAATTACAAGATTATTGTCTCGAATCTATTTGTGAAGATCCAGAATCATTTATCTCTTTAAAAATGTTTTCTTCGTTAGATAAGGATATTCTTTTTGGTTTGCTTAAACGTGATGATTTTCAGATTAAAGAAATTGACATTTGGGATTGTCTAATTAAATGGGGTATTGAACAAACACCTGGTTTAGGAAGTGATAGAACCAAATGGAATAATGAAAATTATGAAGCATTAAAGAAAACTTTGAATCAATTTATTCCTCTTATTCGGTTTGTGGAAATTTCTTCTGAAGATTTTTTTGACAAAGTTCGCCCTTATAAAGCTATTATTTCCCATCATATTTATGAAGAATTAGAAGAATTCTATTATAAAAAAACTTTACCAAAAGCCACGACCTTACCACCTCGTACGGGTAAATCAGGATTATTAACATCAACAATTATTAAACCAAAACTCATAAATATAATTTCTAATTGGATTAATAGAAATGATTCAGCAACTCTTTCAAATAATAATAAATTTAAGTTTAATCTAATTTACTTAATGAGTCGTGATGGATTTAATAATGTGACATTTTATAATAAATGTAATAGACAAGGGCCATTTGTGGTATTAATAAGAGTTCAATCAAATAAAATCTATGGTGGTTATAATCCAATTGGATATACGGGAAGAGATCGGTGGTTATCTTCAACAGAAAGTTTTGTCTTTTCTTTCGAAAATGATCAAGATATACATAATATGAAAATATGTAGGTCATTAAATACGAACCGTTCTGTACTGGATTACTGCAATTATGATAAATTCTTTAGTTTTGGAGATATGTTGTATATTTATGAACAAAATCTTTTTGTTGGATATAATAATAGCCATTATGAAAACAATTTTGGAGTAGAAAATTCATCATATTTCATTGAAGAAATTGAAGTATTCAGTGTAGTTAAGAAATGATTTAACTTTTAAAGAAACTGCTTTAAATATTCCTAGTAAGTACAGTAAATAAAATCTTTACAAAATAATATCGTTCATCTTACTTTTAATAATTTTCATTTGTTTCTTCTCTTCAATTGTATCTAAAATCATATATTGGTATTCATTGTTATCTAAAAATTTGGCAAAGTTATTATGAGCTACAATAACCATTTTTAAAATTAACACCAATTTCTTGCATCAATTATTATAAATTTCATGTTCCTTATATCCCACTTTTAATTTTGTGAAAATGTTATCAAAAATGTCTAGAAATTGTTCTAATATTCTAGAAAAAACTTTCAAATCTGCTACGCGTTATTTTTATATTTAGAATTGGGTTCAATTTTTATTAACAATAAACAAAACTACTTAAAGAGTCTTTACTAAGAAGATAAAAGCCTCAATATTTAATTTTGTGACAATCTTTATATCTTGACATACTTCATTTGATGATATGAACACTATCCGACCGCATAACTCTTTATTGCTGAACTAAAAAGAAAGTTATCATGAAAGTTGATTTTGGAAAAGCATGACAAAGAAGACATTAATTTAAATAGAATATTGAAAAGCAAGAATTTAGACAAATAACATAAGTAAATTAGTGTTAATAAACAAAATAATGAATTATTTATCATAACATACATATTAATCATTTTTTGATAACTAAGCCATTAAAAAGAACATTTAGTTTCTCATTCAAATCATACTATTTCATTGTTGGTTGATTTAGTAAAATCCCTTATTAAAGACTATTGTTCCTAATCATTTATATCAAAACTCAAAAAATTAAATTATATTTAATCAGCTAACCAACAAATGTGGTTCACCATAAAAAACGAAAAATTATAGGTTACAAAATCCTGGCCAGAATTAATTTCCGATATGTTAATTCTGGCCGAATTTTTAATTCCGGTCAGAATTAACCGGTTAATTTAAAACCGGTGATTAAGTTTCACAAACAATGTAGTGTAGCCAAAAAAAAAAATCTTTTTATTAGACAAATTTTATTTTTTAACTGATTCTCCTCCTTTTCACATTCAAGAAAAAAAATTATTTTTTCATAAATAGTTTTTTAAACGATCTTACAAGTCTACAAGATATTATTATATTGATTAAAAAATTTCATAATTTTCTTTAATAAAAATGACTTCAATATTCCATTCAGGTCTCTCAAAAGATCTTTTATCATTATTAAATGATGCTGATGATTATAACGTTATTATTCAAGTTGGTGAAAACAGAAATATGAAAGAATTTCGTGCTCATTCAGTGATTTTACGTGCTCGCTCTCCTTATTTTAAAAGTGCCTTCTCTGCCGATTGGATTTCAAAGAAAAATAACATGATTACAATTAATAAACCAAACATTGCTCCAACTGTTTTTGAAATGGTTTTAAAGTAAGCGAGAATTTTTAAATTATTAAAGTATTTAAATTTTAAATTTAAATTTTCTTCAAAAAAAAAAAATCCTTATTTTATTATTTATTAAGATATATTTATACTGGTGAACTTGATTTGACTAAACAATCTGGTGAAGATATTCTCAGTTTATTAGTTTCATCTGATGAATTACTTATTGAAGAACTATTTAACCATGTTCAAGATTATTTAATTGAAAAAAAAACTAGTTGGGTTCAAAAAAATTTTGTTCTTGTTCTCCATACTGTGTTTCAACTTACTAGTTGCAAGAAATTGCAAGATTATTGTCTTAAATCTATTTGTGAAGATCCAGAATCATTTATCTCTTCAAAAATGTTTCCTTCGTTAGATAAGGATATTCTTTTTGATTTGCTTAAACGAGATGATTTTCAGATTAATGAAATTGACATTTGGGATTGTCTAATTAAATGGGGCATTGAACAAACACCCGGTTTAGGAAATAAGAATAGTGACAGAACCAAATGGAATAATGAAAACTATGAAGGAATAAAGAAAACTTTGAATCAATTTGTTCCTCTTATTCGGTTTGTGGGAATTTCTTCTAAAGATTTTTTTGATAAAGTTCGTCCTTATAAAGCTATTATTTCTCATCATATTTATGAAGAATTAGAAGAATTCTATTATAAGAAAACTTTACCAAAAACCACGACTTTACCACCTCGTACAGGAAAATCAGGATCATTAACGTCAAAAATCATTAAATCGAAACTTGTAAATATTATTTCTAATTGGATTGATAGAAATAATTCAGCAGCTCGTTCAAACAATGACAAGTATAAGTTTAATCTAATTTATTTGATGAGCCGTGATGGGTTTGATTGCAGAACATTTTATAATAAATGTAATGGACAAGGACCATTTGTAGTATTAATAAAAATTCAATCAAAGAAAATCTATGGTGGTTATAATCCAATTGGATATACGGGAAGAAATCTGTGGTTATCTTCAACAGAAAGTTTTATTTTTTCTTTTGATAATGATCAAGATATACATAATATGAAAATATGTAGGTCATTAAATACGAACTGTTCTGTATTGGATTACTGCAATTATGATAAATTCTTTAGTTTTGGAGATATGTTGTTTATTTATGAACAAAATCTTTTTGTTGGATATAATAATGACCATTATGAAAACAATTTTGGAGAAAAAAATTCACCATATATCATTGAAGAAATTGAAGTATTCAGTGTAGTTAAGAAATGATTTAACTTTTATTAAAGAAATATTTCTAAGTATAGTTAATAAAATCTTTACAAAATAATATCGTTCATCTTACTTTTAATAATTTCCATTTGTTTCTTCTCTTAAATTGTATCTAAAATTATATATTGGTATTCATTGTTATCTAAAAATTTAATTAAATTATTATGAGCTACTATAATTTTTAATAACCATTTTTAAAATTACAGTATATCAATTTCGTGCATTAGTTATTATAAATTTCATGTACCTCTTCTCGCCCATTAAATTTCTGGAAAATATTTCAAAACCGTTCAGAAATTGTTTTAATATTCTAGAAAAATGTCTGAGAAAAAATTCAAATTTGCTACGCGTTATTATTAAATAACAGTAGTTTCTTAATACGTCCAAACCAGTAAAATCTACTAATACATTTTGTGAATTATTTTAAAAATAATTAATTAGCAGGAAATTTAGATAAGAGCAATAGATATAGCGTACAAGAAATGTGAAATGAACTTACAAAATTAATAGAGAAAGGTAGTTTAGAAGAAACTGACATTCCAAAAGTATGAACTATTCAAAATTGAATATGCCGCTCAATATAAGCAAAATATGGCACAATAAGCTAGACAGCCTGTGATTGATAGAAATGAATAATTTTAATACTTTTTTTTATTTACGTTTTTTTTGTTTATAACTTTTAAAACAAATTATTTACCAGCATATAAGTAAATAATATTTTAATAAAACTAGCTGTCACCCGTTGCTTCGCACCGGAACAAATGAGTTTTTTTAAATAGAAAGATTTAGTATTATAATGTAATACTAAGTAAATTAAAGAAGTTTTTTGTTTATAATTAGGAATTTAATATGGTAATAATTAGGTAACAAAAAATATGTATTAAATTATATTTATAATATTAGAATGATATAGATAATAAATTCAGTTATTTTTAGAATAATGTAGCTATTTATATTAATGATTTGATGTTTGAGTGTAGAGTGAAATTCGGATTAATTAGGAATTGTGAAAAATAATTATCAATAAAAATTGATTAATTTTTTAGAAGTATTTTTGAAAAAACTTTAATTTATGAAAATACTAGAAATATTTTTATAAATTTTATAATTATTTCTTATTATTTTATATTACGTCAATTTTAAACTTATAATCAACTTAGGAAAAATATTTGAACAATTAAATGTATTGGAAATCAGTTCATTTCATTTATTATTATTCTTTTGATACTCATTTTATTCGATAAATTATTAATTTAACTAAACCATTTGAATTAAAATTTTTATTCAAAAATCTGGTGATTATTTAGAGAATTTCGGATATGGATTTGGTTATAATAGTCTATTATTAAATCAACAATTTCTTTAATTAATTAATTATAAAATATTGTAAAAATATCAA